TAGCTAATAATGAGTTAATTTTATGATATTTCGAGAAGCACCACATTCATTAACAGGAATGATTAGAAAACCAGGAAGTATGAATGACAAGAAACAGGTAAGTGTTATAAAGTGTGTAATAAAACCAGCTGGAAAATGAATCTATAAATTTGAGGAAGTCGCTTATTCTGCAATGCACGCTGTACAGGAACCAAAATTACCCCAGGTTGAAATAACTAAGTATAAGCAAAATAAAGAATTGCAGATAAGCTGAATAAATGAATAGGAATTGTCAATGAATGGAAGACATTGTAAAGACTTATGGGTGATGATGGTGGTAGTGGTAGTAGTAGAAGGATATCCTGTTGATGATAATGATCTAATAATTGCTAATAATTGAATAATTTAAAGCAGTAAAGCGCATTAAGTTATAGAACAGACGTTACAGCAAACCAACTGATTTCTGTGTGAGCAAACCCATAGTGCACAAACTGACAGGCAGACTCACAGTATTGTACACACACAGCCTCATGGAACTCTCAAATTGGTAATACATCCACATCTTCTGGTGGTGAGTCTCTTCCTGTGAGTGCCATTGATTTTCATGGTCATCAGTGATATTATGTGTCATTCCTGTTTGTGTAGTTGCATTTTTTCATGGAATATAGTTGCTGTTCCAGAATTTGCTTATCCTAATGCACTACCGCCCAGTTTTGTTCCAGATTAGCCGCTGGTTGATCTCATTCTTCAAACTTCAGATCTGCTTGGCATTTACTGTTTTGTTCCGTAAGAACTTACAACTCATTTTGAAATTTCTGGTTGTTCACCCTGGATTCTTATAATTCTATCAAAGTTTTAACCTTCTGTCAGACCAGTACATTTTCTCCTTCATAACCTGCTCTTTAAATGTCCAGCCTCTTCAGTATTTCTTTGTTTTCTTGGAAGTCTGGACCTCGTAAACTTGCTGCTTCAGTTGTTTTTTAGTTGTCTCTGTGTCTTGCTTGAGTTCCTATACTATAAAAGCATTGCTGACATTAATTTCTGACAGATCTGTCTCATGAGTGATTTGTAGCTTCTTATGTATATTGTGCATCTCCACCTGGTTTTGTAGGTTTTCATTTTCTAAAGAATTTGTTTTAAGCCCGACCAAATGTTTCTGTAGCTGTACCTGCTGACTTTTATCTATTTTATGTTAGAATTGATTCAAGCTATCCTGTAAACCGCCAATATTTTCATTGGAATGATAATACACAGCTTGGAGTTCGTTCCTTCTTTTCAGCTCTTCATTCAACTTTATGAGCTGTACAGACGTATCTTCTAAAGATTTCTTTGTCTCAAACGTGGTATTCTTGAGTCTGAGCTAGTAGCTCAGCCTTTTCCTCTTAAGTTTTTATTTTTCTCTTCACATCAGACAGTTTAGATATTACTCCTCTAATTCAGAAGAAAAGCAGATGTTTTGTCCTTTCGTATTCAGTTCAGCAAGTGTTTCTTGAATAGTCTGCTGCAGATTCCATTGTTCTCTGATGTCTGACTGGTTCCATGGTCGTAGCACGCTCGTATAACTGCAGTTGCTCATCCAGCCATATCAGAAGCAAAATTAATGATCCATTGTGTGCTAAAAGTTTTACATGCATAAATATTGTCATGGCTTCCCATGTCTGTGGGTAGGCATTTATTTTTTTAGAACTGGCAGGTTTGTCTAGCAATCCTTTTCTGGAAAAATCTCCATGGGGATTGACTGTCTGTGAGCAGCTTGATAACTGCCATGATCACAGATTTTGTACCTCAGAACACCTGGCAACACATTGAACATTAATTCCAACATGTTTTTATTTAAACAAGGACCTATGGCAAAAAGTTGACTGAAGATGTACATTCAGTGGCCACAAAGACAGAGAGAGTGTCTGGAATGTCACACTTAATAAGTATTCAAAGAAGCTTCAAAGGGAGCAAATGCAACGCAACCTGTAATTGAAATCTCCCAAGAGATATCTCAGACTGTGAACATGATGGTTTTAAAAAATAACGCATCAGACTGGGTGAGAGACAAATTTACATTTTCTTTCTTTCAAGAATACATAGGAACAAAGTTTAAAAGTGAGATTAAACTTTTCTCTATGTGTGTTGCTGGTCTGACATCACGGCTCTCAGCACCGCCATCTAAACACTCTGACTACAGGTTCAAAAAAAACTCAGAACTCATAAAGAATCACTGGATTCGAAACATTAACTCAGCTTCCTCCCCAAAGATGCTGCCAGACCCATTAGGTTTTGCCACCAAGTTCTGGTCTTATCTCATAAAATGGCTTCAATGTTAACTCTCTGTTGCTTCCTCCGAGCTTTCTTATGCTGGTCATGGTGTAGGGAGGCAAGCAGATAATTTTTTGTCTGGTTGGTATCAGAAATAAAAGTTCCGACGCGGTCTGGAATGTTTGAACAGATATATTTTAATAGTGTATTTCAGGATATTCCAAAATGTGTTAGGCCTGTGAAGTCCTTTTGAAGTATCATTAAGGTGTAATGTAATCAGCTTGTCCACAGCAATCTCCCACAAATGGCATTGAAAGAAACAATGAGATAAATCTGTTGATGATGTTGAGAGAAATTCTCATCTCTTCAAATAGTGCCATGGGATCTTGCACCTGAAAGAGCAAATGGGATCTTGGATTAATGTCTCATCAGAATGACATCACTGATATTATTATAACATTGTCTCAATACTGCCCTCGGGTGAAAGCATAGTTTTTATTTAAAACTCTATCTATATTGATGGCACTTGAAACTAAAACTATCTGACTCAGTCAGAAGTCACATGGCACTAGCTTATAGTTCAACAGGTTTATTTGAGATCACAAGCTTTCGGAGCTCTGGCCCTCATCAGGTGAAGACAGCCTCAACCGTGATCACTGAATTTTTCCAATCTATGTGGGAGCAAGGAAATATCCAGCAAGAATACGAAGGTACCTTCATTATCCAGCTCTTCAAATGGAAAGGAACCTGTCAGTCTTCAACAATCATAGAGGAATCTGGCTGCACTCCAGCATCAGCAATATCTTCGCAAGAATTCTTCTGAATCTCTTAGTGCAATGTCTCAACTAGGATTTGCTGCCAAGAAGTAAGTGCCATTTCAGAAAAGATCATGGAACCACTGATGTTTATAGTGTTTGCAGTTGTACAGTTCCAGAAGAAAGGGCAAAAACAGAACATGGACCTCTAAATCAATTTGCTGACCTGATCAAGACCTTTGACATAGTCAGCTGTGAGCGACTTTAGAAGGTAATGGAGAAATTCAGCACCTCTGACAAAGTCTTCATAGTTTCTTGATAATATCAACACCACGTTCCAACGTCTGAAAGGGGGAAAAGTTCAAAAGAGATGTGAGGGGCACATGTTTTTTATACACAGTTGTAGGAGTGTGGAACACACTGCCAGGGATGGTGGTGGAAGCAGATACAATAGGGATGTTTAAAGACTTTTAACTAAGCACATGAATATGGAAGGAATGGAGGGATATGGACCAAGGGCAGGCAGAAGGGGTTAGTTTTAATTTGGTGTCATGTTCAGCACAACATCGTGTGCCGAAGAGCCTGTTCCCATGTTGTACTGTTCTATGTTCTGTGATCACGAGTGATCATGTCTGCGACACATTATTGACCAAGTTTTTAAAAAGAAATACATACATACAGTTAAAATTCTAGGGTTGTAGCTTTGTAAATTACTGTCCATATGAATTGTTAGTCTGCCTCTTTTCACTGTTAAACTGGCTTGTATCTCCAATTCAGTTTCTATGCAATCATCGTTTAGACAATATGTGGACATTTTTAAAGTAAGTAGTGAAAATGTCATATACTGCATGACAAGTGCGCTGATAAGTGACTTTCCAATGTGTGGCAGTGCAATATTGATTGGATGTGAATATATGACATTAGGTGACAATTTAGTGACTTCTTTAATTTCAGGCTTGGCAATCAGATGTGCTGGATAAAGGTTATTTACTTCTGCATATTAAGCAGCAGAAAACCAGTTATTCTGAGCCATTCTTCAATGAAATCTAATGGCCAAAACAGTTTCCGAGTTTATCCACTACCTACACTCCTACTGAGAAATTCCACTTATTAACTTGCCATTTGTGTGTGTGTGCATGCAGATTACTATCTGGTACTTTCATTTTTGAGATTTAAAGGGGGTGACAGTTGTTTGAACAGTTATATCACCAAAACATTCTGATTTTACAGTATATTCTTGAATCTTAGACAAAATCACAGTTGATTGGGTATGATCCTCGATATGGAGGAATTATTTTATGTGCAAAGGTTAAACAGTTGGGACTCTACCCCCTGGTGTTTAGAAGAATGAGTGGTAATCTCATTGAAACATTTAGGATTTTTAAGGGATTTGACCGGATAAATGCTTTAGAGGATGTTTCTCTTCTTGAGTGTCTGGGACCAGAGGAGACAGTCTCAGAATATAAGGGCATCAATTTAAAATTGAGATGAGGAGGAATTTCTTTTCTGAAGGTTGAGAGCCTTTGGAACTCCTTGCCTCAGAGAACTCTGGGGCAGAGTCCTTGTGTATATTTAAGGCTGAGATAAGATTCTCGATCAGTAAGGGAATCAAGGGTTACAGGTAAGGGGCCGGAAAGTGGATGTAAGCAATGTTGGATCGGCCATGATCCTGTCGAATGGCAAAGCAGTCTTGAAGGGCCGAATGGACTAGTCCTGTTCCTATTTCTTAAGGTCTCACAGTTACTTTTTTTCCCCCTAAGTGTAATATGTGGGGAAGTTTACATACAATATCCTATTGTAATTATTTTTTATTCTGATGTCTCTGTTGACCTTACCTATCATACCTAGTTGCAGTGTGGTTGGATATTTTCCTAAATGTGACCGATTCTGTTTTATTAACCTTATCAATCCTGTGAGCATCTGGGAAATGGAATGGAAAATGCTTCTTTGATCATGTGAGTATATTATTAATAAACTTTTCTTTGTAATCATTTCTCACCTGTGTTTGTACTTTAGGTAAACAAAGAACTGAAAATGTATGACAACAAGATCATTGAATGCAAGTTTGAGAACAACAGCTGGGTTATTATGCGTGAAAGAGTAGACAAGAGCTTCCCAAATTCCTATGACACAGCTATGGGTAAGGACTTCTCAGAAATTTCATGTGGGCTAATGATCTAAAGAATATGCTAAAAAAAAATTAACTAATTACCGCTAAGTTGTCCCCCATATCACAAAATAAGTTCGCCGACGCCGACACAGCTCCGCCCACAGCCGACGCCGACGTAGCTCCGCCCACCACCTCCACAGCCAGCAGCTCCAGAGGAGACAGCAGCACCCGGCCCTGCCGAGTCTTCACCATCCCCCCAGACCTACCCCTTACTGAGGACGAACGGTCAGTCCTCAGTAAAGGGCTCACCTTTGTCCCCCTCCACCCACAGATCAACGAATACCGCTCACGCTTGGACATAGAGCAGTTTTTCTGCCGCCTCCACCTCCACGCTTACTTCTTTAACCGTGAACCTAACCCTCCCTCTACTGACCCCTTCTCCCGCTTCCAACACACCCCCTCCTCCTGGACACCACCCCAAGGCCTCCTACCCTCCCTCGACCTCTTCATCTCCAACTGCCGTCAAGACATCAATCGCCTCAACCTCTCCACCCCTCTCACCCACTCCAACCTCTCCCCCGCAGAACGTGCAGCCCTCCGCTCCCTCCGCTCCAATCCCAACCTCACCATAAAACCCGCAGACAAGGGAGGTGCAGTTGTAGTATGGCGCACTGACCTCTACATCGCCGAGGCCGGACGCCAACTCTCCGACACCACCTCCTACCGCCCCCTTGATCATGACCCCACCCCTGAGCACCAAACTATCATCTCGCAAACCATCCACAACCTCATCACCTCAGGTGACCTCCCACCCACGGCCTCCAACCTCATCGTTCCCCAACCTCGCACTGCCCGCTTCTATCTCCTTCCCAAAATCCACAAACCTGAATGCCCTGGTCGACCCATTGTCTCCGCCTGCTCCTGCCCCACCGAACTGATCTCCAACTATCTCGACTCCATTTTCTCCCCCTTGGTCCAGGAACTCCCTACCTATGTCCGTGACACCACCCACGCCCTCCACCTCCTCCAGAACTTCCAATTCCCCGGTCCCCAACACCTCATCTTTACCATGGACGTCCAGTCCCTCTACACCTGCATTCCCCATGCAGATGGCCTTAAGGCCCTCCGCTTCTTCCTGTCCCGCAGGCCCGACCAGTCCCCCTCCACTGACACCCTCATCCGCTTAGCCGAACTCGTCCTCACACTCAACAACTTCTCTTTCGATTCCTCCCACTTCCTACAGACAAAGGGGGTAGCCATGGGTACCCGCATGGGCCCAAGCTACGCCTGCCTCTTTGTAGGTTACGTGGAACAATCCCTCTTCTGTACCTACACTGGCCCTAAACCCCACCTCTTCCTCCGTTACATTGATGACTGTATCGGTGCCGCCTCGTGCTCCCACGAGGAGCTCGAACAGTTCATACACTTCACTAACACCTTCCACCCCAACCTTAAATTTACCTGGACCATCTCTAACACCTCTCTCCCCTTCCTGGACCTCTCTGTCTCCATATCGGGCAACCACCTCGAAACCGATATTCATTTCAAGCCCACCGACTCCCACAGCTACCTAGAATACTCCTCCTCCCACCCACCTTCCTGCAAAAATGCTATCCCCTATTCCCAATTCCTTCGCCTCCGCCGCATCTGCTCCCAGGATGAGGCATTCCACTCCCGTACATCTCAGTTGTCCTCGTTTTTCAAGGACCGTAACTTCCCCTCCTCGGTGGTCGAGAACGCCCTCAACCGTGTCTCCCACATCTCCCGCACCTCATCCCTCACACCCCGTCCACGCAATAAAAACCAAAAAAGAATCCCCCTCGTCCTCACGTACCACCCCACCAACCTCCGGATCCAACGCATCATCCTCCGACACTTCCGCCATCTGCAATCCGACCCCACCACCAAAGACATCTTTCCCTCCCCACCTTTATCTGCTTTCCGGAGGGACAACTCTCTCCGTGACTCCCTTGTCCGCTCCACACTCCCCTCCAGCTCCACCACACCCGGCACTTTTCCCTGCAACCGCAGGAAGTGCTACACCTGCCCCCATACCTCCTCCCTCACCCCCATCCCAGGCCCCAAGAAGACTTTCCACATCAAGCAGATGTTCACCTGCACATCTGCCAATGTGGTATACTGCATCCGCTGTACCCGGTGTGGCTACCTCTACATCGGGGAAACCAAGCGGAGACTCTGGGACCGCTTTGCAGAACACTTATGCTCGGTTCGCAACAAACAACTGCACCTCCCAGTCGCGAACCATTTCAACTCCCCCTCCCATTCCTCAGACGACATGTCCATCCTGGGCCTCCTGCAGTGCCACAACGATGCCACCCGAAGGTTGCAGGAACAGCAACTCATATTCCGCTTGGGAACCCTGCAGCCCAATGGTATCAATGTGGATTTCACAAGTTTCAAAATCTCCCCTCCCCCCACCGCATCCCAAAACCAGTCCAACTCGTCCCTGCCTCCCTAACCTGTTCTTCCTCCCACCTATCCCCTCCTCCCACCTCAAGCCGCACCTCCATCTCCTACCGACCAACCTCATCCCGCCCCCTTGACCTGTCCGTCCTCCCTGGACTGACCTATCCCCTTCCTAACTCCCTACCTACACTCACCTTTCCTGGCTCCATCCCCGCCTCTTCGACCTGTTTGTTTCCTCTCCACCTATCCTCTCCTCTATCCCTCTTCTATCCGCCTCCCACTCTCTCCCTATTTATTTCAAAACCCCCTTCCCCTCCCCCTTTTCTGATGAAGGGTCTAGGCCCGAAACGTCAGCCTCTCTGCTCCTATGATGCTGCTTGGCCTGCTGTGTTCATCCAGCCCTGCACCTTGTTGTCTCTAAATAATGTAGCATTCCTCTTCCAAAATGCTATGAATCTTTGTAATAATGGTGAGACCTAGGATGAAAACAGAAACTGCTGGAGAAGCTCAAAATATCTGTCTGTATAGAGAGAGCATTGGTGTAACTTGGAATGTAACCTTACAACAGAAGTGGTGTGATGGGATGTCTGAAAAAGTGGGGGGGTAAAGGAGCTTAAGTTGGATGCCAGTATGTTTACGATACCTGTTGTAACATACTCAGATTCCAGTACCTTGCTACATGCTTTGATGTGCACTGTATCATTTACCCAATCCAGCAGCCTGTAGCTGTATTTCTCAATCCATCAGGACCAATAGCATGTCAACTCGGCTTCCTACATGGTCACATAAAGAAGATGGTGATGTAGAACTTAGTGTAATTTGCAATGCTAAGTCCTTAAGTAGTCCAAATTTTGACCATCCCAGTATTAAATGTGGATAATATAAATTTAATAAATAGATTTAATAAATAATACATACACTACAAGCTGCCTATCTGTGCCTTTTCCTGTTGGTTTAACATCCAGACCAGTCATGGTGCGATTGGTCAACCTGATGTAGGAGATTCTGACTACACTCAGTTCCAGAGTTTTCCAAAGCACTAAGCCCAATCTAATGTATCACGGCACTGCAATAAAAGCAGTCCTCATTCCTTATCACACAGAGCTCTGCTGTTGTTGACAGCTTTAATTGGTTTCCTATACCTAATGTATCCTTTTGCAAATCCTTATCCTCATTTATAGCCTGACTCCTCCTTTTCTCAGAACTTCCAACAATATTGTGTTCCCGCCTCTGCACTTCTGCCTCTTGCCTTCTCCCCACATTCAGTGAGAAAGTTTTCAACCACCTTACCCTGCTTGTCTGGAAATACCTTCAGGCATATCATGATATTTTCCCACCATTGCACAATGCGCAAAAATGTGCGAGCTGATGTTCTGTGAGAGAATACCCTTGTAAAGCTGTCAGATGTGCTTCCCTCGAAGGTGTATTTTACACTCATACATATCTGTTCCACTGATTTTATGTTGTATTGGATCATACAATCTTGAATCTGTTGAGCAAGCAAAGTTCACATGTCATTAATTTCTATTTTATGAACATTATTAAAAGATTTTGTCAAAAATGAAGACAATGTTCAAAAAATATTCTAAACACACAAGCTGATAAGTGTTCATAATGCCGCCAGTTTCAAGGGAATCAAACTGCTAAGGGATATTGTACGTCATTAAATCTATCCTGTTGACCACTTAACCCTAATATTTATTCTGTAGAAACAGAACGAATACCCTTGTATTATCCCTGACATTTTTGTTTTCAATTTTTGACTTGTAGATGGAATGCCAATTACATCTCATAGGTGTTCATACTTAAGACAATTGATTTTTGTGCAGCTTAACATATTAACAAACATCACAAATGTTTAGATTGCTCTGAGTGGCATGATTTGCCTCCTGAATATTACAGGTTTGTAATAAAATGTCCTAAAGGAAGTTGAATTGCAGTTTCTGAACAGATGTGAGTGATAACGAATACATCTCTTGTTTTATTCATGTGGCTTCTTCCTCCCGATGGTACAGTGTTAAACAGCCAAATGTCCAGAATTAATTTCTGAACTGTGCCAAATTCACTGGTGTAAGAATGGGTGAAAAGAAAGGTGTTTTCCTCACCCTCTTTGGATGAGGAACAGGTTAGATCAGCTATTTCAGATTGTTATTCTTTGAATCTTAACAGAAACTATGGTTGTTCGAAGGACAATAAGAATAATAAGCAGGGCTCTGAAGGTATTTACAACCTGCTGCCGTTTGTCATCTAGACTTTTGTGGAGAATAGCTATTTTATTCAATAGTGGAGGTATGGTATTGTTCATTGAGCCCTACTGCAGCAAATGGGAAGTGAAATAACGTTTCACCACTTATATTAAGGAAGCAGAAATAATTATGTAGATTGAAAGAAATTAGCCTTGAGCAATAGTGGAAAATGGATAATACTGAATTAACATTTCTGTTCACATGCTTTGGAAATTTAGAAAAAAGGTCTAACTCAGATGACTAAAAATTCTTCATATATTTTTTACATTTGTTTTCTTTTGTCTTTGAACAATAAATGCAGATAATATTGTGGGTGTTGCCAAATGTAACAATATGAGAGAAATGCAGCTCAGTTAA